TTCCAGATAGGGTTCCTTTTGATGCCTTAAAGACTAAATTTCTCTGAGCACTTCAAAGTTGTGGAAAGATAATTTAAAATTTCCAGTCAAAAAGGAAAGAAAAAAAATTTAAATGCAACATCAACTTTTATATTTGTGAAACTAAAAGATGCTGGAAGGGATAAAGGACGATAGCTCAATATTTATTTAAATTTTGAAAACACTATATTTTATTGGAATAAAAAGGATCTTTTGGAAAGCTATAAAAGAATTGGCACTATAAGAATCTGTAAAAAAAGTTTTACTTTTAGCGTTAAAAGAGAGATGAGAACTATAAAACTCTGGAAGGGAAAAAAGGATAGCTAAATAGCTATACCAAAAAATGTGACTGAACTATAAGAAATTGGAATTTAAAAAATTTGAAAAAAAGATAATAATGTTACCGAGAGAATTTTAAAACTATTATAAGACATTGGAAGGGTGAAAGGATAAATCAATAGGAATTAGATATTTGGCACTATAAGACTCTGGAAGGGATAAAAATTGCTAATAATAGCTGAATACCATGAGAAGATGTGACAAACTCGTCTGACTTTTAAAGGATAAATCAATAAATAACGAGAGAGATGTGGCACTATAAGACACTGGAAGGTTTAAGACATATTCCAATAAACATACCAAGAGATGATATATATTTTATATTAAATATACAGAAAGTTTGTTTTCTTCCATGAATAATGGGATAAAAAAAAAAAAAAAAAAAAAAACTTGCAAAATATGACTTTAAATTAAAAATTTTTTATTATTTTGAGGAATCTAGTCAAAAAGGCCATCTGGATAATTTAAATCCAAGAGGGATGGGAAGAGGTGGTTGAATAACATTGAAACCAGCAGAGGATTTTACTAAGACAAGACCAAACTGGAGGCACAGATTGATAATCACTATTTAAATTGTGGGTTATTTATTCCAACTGTAGGCAGTTATTCTAAGAAAATGGTCAATGTCAAGTTAATAAGGAAGTGATTTCTTTCAAATTCCTTAAATATTCTTGAAAGCCAGAGGAGTAAAAATGTTAGAATTTTCTTGGGTGAAATTATGTCGAGGATTTTCAAAATAGAAAGTGAACTGATACTGTATTTAGGGTTTTATGGGAATTTTTTTAAAATAATATATTTATTTACTTGTTAATAACAGGGAAACTGCACTTAAAAAAAAAAATAATTAATTTCTATTTTTTTAAGAAAGCAATTCTTTAAATTAAAATGTTAAACCCGCCAAAATAATTGAATAATTACACCTGGTGAATGTCTTTTTGAAGAATAGGGTTTAAATTCTTTAACAGATCCCGTTGAATAAAAAAATTATTTGACTATTATAATTAAAATTTATGATTATAAATAAACCCCACCTGTTCGCCTACACAGTCTAAAAAATTGACATTTTGTAAAAATGACAATCAGAATAAAAGGACTCAGGTGAAATATCAAGTGGATATTTAAAAAGGAAAACACCATTTTGGTAGTTTTGGTATTATTTACCAATATAAAAATGGAATTTTCTCTGAATGGCATTTGATATTCTACTACCAATTATATAGGAGGATATTCATCTAAAAATTGGTATATTAATTAATTCCAATATTCAGACGACAAATTTTCTTCTTCAAAATTCCATTTTTGGATGGAAGTTCATATAAGAAAATTATAAAAAGTGAATATCGGCAAAATGACATAATTTTATTTCATAAAACGGACAAATAAAGACATATCAATGATGACATCCTAAGAAAAAAGCCTCCATTCTTAATTCAATTGAGAAAATTGATAATATCTATATCTTTTTCATAATGAACAATGTTAATTTATTTATATTATAATAAGGAATAAATGGATTCTAACTCCTGCATATTAAGATATTTTCCATGATGAATATATATTTCCCTGAAGAACTTATAATTGTAATAAGCTCTTTACAAGGAAGTTATATATAAATTATTTTTTTGATACAATTTGATTTTTTTTTTTTTACGTGTTCTAATAAAAATTTTTTCCATCTGGACCAAAAAATTCAATGATTCCTGTTGAAATAAAAATGTTATTTGTGAAAGTTTCAATCACAATGTGGGACAAAGGCAATGCTTGGATCATTCCAATTCCATTCAATAAGTCATTAGGGATCAAACAAAAATGGACTGATGGGATGAACATCATAATCTTTAATATTCTTAATTCTTGTTCTTTTATTAATTCTCTATGTTAACAGTAATTTTTTTTCTCATATTCTCTAACACTCAGCATCTTAGTGACTTTATTGCCTTATTTTGTTTTCTTGAATTGATTAAAAAAAAAAAAAAATGATTTTATATAAGGTTTTGGGTTTTTTCTTGTATTGTCTTTAAATAAATAAAAAGTAAAATTTCTAAGAGACAACATTGCAAGTAAATCATTTGGAGAAATAAGTCTTATTTTCAAAAATGTAATAGAATATAAATATTTCATGACAAGATTAAAGGTGAAATTAGAAGAAAATGCACTAGAAAATGGAAATGATGGACATCAACAAAAGAAAATTCTAGGTAACAATCAAAAACGATGACTGAAACGTTTTAGACACAAATGAGAAAAAAATTGAAAATTTATTATTTCACAGGAAAATTGTTCTTGATTGTTAAATTTCAAAGTGATGTTAATATTTTAAACAACATAGCTTCTCTGAACGTTTTCTATAAATACTTCCATGGTAATTGTTCTATTGAATTTTTTCTATGGTATTTAGACTTTATTAATTTAAAATATAGTACTAGACTTATTATTAATAAAAAGCCACTAAGACAATTTAGGATCAGAATCTATCTTACGTATTTATAAGTCTAAAATTTGACTTTTTGAATGAATATATTTTACATCTGGTTGTTCCTGCTATATATTTAGAAATTCTTGTAAAATCCAAGAAGAATTTGCAATGTTATTAGTCCTGACCTGGCATCTTCAAAATCAGTCCATTTTTCAAACCATTATGTGAATTCCATCTGCCTTTTCTTTAAATACTTTCATGGTAATTGTTCTGATGAACTTTCCTCTATGGTACCTGAGACTTTATGATTTTACAGCAGTACTAGATTGGTGGCAAGGTCTCATCATTTTACATTTGAAATGGGTAGATGTAACCGTAAGTTCTATACTAACAGTTTCTCCTGGTACTCTTGGACAATGGATTGTCGAAAAGGCAGTTTTTCCCTTGATGCTACCATTATTTTAACTACCTTCACTTCTCGGCAATGTTTATTGTTTTAAAAAGCAATGATTAGAATTTTAATAAAAACCTAAACATTTTTCGTTTTTGAGAATTTACAACAAAAATATTAAACACTATTTAATTATTACATTGTTTATTTATTTCCAAAAATAATTTTATACTTCACTATTTACATTATTCATACTATTGTCCTCATATTGTCCTCTATTTTCACCATATTTATTACAATGTTTCAGCTGTTCTTCAGTCAGTTGGAATGTCGAACTGAACCCTTTATTCCGCTCACTGGGGTAGACTGTTCTAGTTCCATGTGCCATGTTTAATGGATGTCAGTTATCAGTTATCTCCTGTTAATTCCCCTCTCCTGTCCACTGTCTTAACTGGGTATTGAACTCACAATCTTTGGGTCCTGTCACTGGATCTAACCAACAGCTTTATCCACTGTGCCATGTGTCCTTGAGAACATCTGTGTATGAATTTCTGGGTATTATAGACCTAATGTCTTCAGCATCATTTTTTACCATTGCTCATATTGCAATTTTTTGTTTTTATCATTATATATTTTTTACCAGAGCTCATATTGCAATTTTTGTTATTATTATCACTTTTCTCTTGTACTCCTTATTACTGGTTCCCATATTGTATTCATTTCTCTGCTTGGTCAGCTCAGGAGATTTTTGTGGCATAGCATATGTGCTGATTCCTTAAGTTTTGAATTTTCCAATGGTGTTCTTTGTCTATGATTTCAACCTGATTACAGAGGGTGGTGATCTCCCTTTTCTCTCCATATGTGGTCAGCCATGCCTGATTTTTCTTTAACTTCCCCTCATGTTACAGCTTTCTGGTGTGGAAAAGCCTTACCTTAAGGGGCCTGTCTTTCTTTATATTTGTTTTCCACAGCTGCACAGGATAGCGTACATACACAGTCTTTAGTATGTTCTCATCTATGGGGGGGAAATTTAGGGAGATATCTGTAAAAAAAAAACAACTTTTGAAGGTTGTCCTGATGTTACTTTTTTTACAAAAACAAGAAACACTCAAAAAATAATCATGGAACTAGAACAGTCTATTTCAGTGAGCAAAATAAAGGGTTCAGTTCAACATTCCAACCACCTGAAGATGCGGAAAATTTACAACATGGAAAAAATTGTAATAAATAAATGACAAAGATGAGGACAATAATACAAATAATGTAAATACCATCATAATACCTCATCTCAGAAATATTAAAAGATACTGAAGAATTATTAAAAAACATACAAATACAAAAACATTAAAAAAATAAATTTAATATAAAAATTAATAAAGATGAGGACAATAAAAAAATAATTTAAATAGTGTACATAATGCCTCATCTCAGAAATATAGACAGATACTGAATTTTATACTTACAATATTCTAAAAATAATACAATTAAAACTAAGGTACTACAATCCTTATTATTTCCCATTTTATAAAATTCGAATCAATTGGCAATTAGCCGATATTTTGCCAACTATTCCAATAAACAATTTAATAAACAAATAGCGTTTATTATTTTTGCTGTCAATTCTCAAGGACAAAGAAAATGTATAAATTCACTTTTATATGTTTAGGTTTCATTAAAATTCTAATCATTGCTTTTTAAAACAATAAACATTGCAGAAGCAATTATGCCATCAATTTATCTCAATTTTTCACCCTCCCCAGGCATTAAACAAATTCATCCCTCAATATTTTTAAGGTTGGGTGAACACTTTAGGAGCCTTAGGAAGGTTTCCCCCTTTCATTTTGCCAAATGCTGGTAGTGTTTTAGGTTTGGCACCAACTGTGCCAATTTCATTTTTTGGTTGGTAGGTGAAGGGTCTGCAAGAAAGAAAGAAAGAAAGAAAGAAAGAAAATCTTTGCATCTAATTAACAAACAAATATCAACTGTAAAAAAAAAAAAAAAAAAATAGTCGATGAATTTTCTCCCCAACAGTTCATTTTATTTATTTATTTTGTTTTTTCAAATTGTTCCAATCGCCTAACTGCATTTGGAGGATAAAGTGGGAGGGGGTAATTTGGAAAAAAAAACCGAAGATTCAGCACTGGTCAAAGTTATCTGCAAATGGTCAAAGAATGGAGAAATAATTAAAAATAAGAAAAGAAAAAAAGAGGAAAAAAAAAAGAAAAGAAAAGAAAAAGAAAAAGATAATTGTACGATGGGGAGTTGGGTGTGAAAATTCTTGGCCCAATCCACTTCCCATAGTTTGAACAAATGGTCAGATATCAGACTTTATATTGAAATTAAACCACAGAACATTATCAAACAAAACAGCGGAAAAATTGTAATTATAATTGATTCTTTAAAAAAAAGAATTGTAACAAATATAATTTTTAAAAAAAAGTGAAAATAAAAGAAAGAAAATAATAAAGAAATAAAGGAACAAATTTTTAAAAGAGAGGGGAAATAATATTTTTGGATTAGTAAATGGGGAGGAGGGAGGAGAAGAAAATTTTGGGAGGAGGAGGGGGGAAAAGAAAAAAAGAGCTCTTTAGGAGGACAAAAAGAAATGCATAAATGAAATTAAAATAACAAGACAGGGAGGAAATAATAAAAGAAAATTTAGAAGTCTTTATTAAGGAGGGGGAGCATTCTTGAGAATCAAATTTAAGAATTAGGAATCTTCCTAGAATATAAGAGTTGATTTTGTGGGAAAAAAGAAAAAGAGATTCAAGGAAAACACTTTTTAGAATTTAAAGGTATTAATTTTTTTTAGGAGGAGGAACAAAATTCAAAGATGTGAAATAAAATTTATTTAGAAATCAAAAAGATGGGTTTCTAATGGGGAACTTTAAAGGAAACAGGAAGAGAGGAAACTTTGAGGAGAATATTTATTGAAAACTAAAATCTCCTTTTGAAATTTACATTGAGTTTGATAGATTTTGAAAATAGGTTATTGTTGAATCATTTCGAAGCTTGATTTTATTTTTCAAGTTTGAAGTAAAAGGAATTGATGGTTTAAAATTTTTTATCTTTGTGTCCAAATTTTGTTTATTTAATAAAAAAAAATTCATAATATGGATCTTAATCAATATCATCCCATGTATGATTCAAATAACAATTTAAAAAAAAAAAGAAAATATATCATGCAACAATTTTGAATTTTTTCATTTTTTTAAATTATATAAAATATGTTTTAATATCATAACATTGATACATGGGGGTGGATGCAAATTTCAGATTATTTATGAGGTTGGATCAATAAAAATAGATCATTATCTGAATAAGAATAAGCATCGGAAGCAAAATGGGGGAAAAAAGTTCAATAATTCCCGGGGAAGTTTAAAAAAACTTGTAGAGCTTTCAAAAAATACAATTGAAAGGGAAAAGAGAGAAAAAATGGGAAGATTTTTAGGGGTTTGGAAATTTTATAAGAGACAGATTTTTTAAAAGGAATTTTAAAAAAGAGGGTCAGAGAGGAAAAGTGATATTTACAAGAAAGAAAAAAATGGGAAAGAGATAAATATAAAAAAAATTCCACCATTCAAGGGGGAAACTTCAAACAAAGAGAAATTAAATGACAAAAAAGTATATATTATTTTTATTAAAATGAAAAAAAGGGAGACAAAGTTTTGGAAATTTTGAAAGGCATAAAAAAAAGGAAAAAAAATAAAAGGAATAGAATAGATTCGCATTTCAAAAATTGGGAAAAAAGGAAGAAAGAAAAAAACAAAAAAACTAAAAAAAAAAAGGAGATAAAATTTATTACATAAAAACAGGAAAAAATTAAATATGCAAAGAAGAAAAGAAAAAAATTTTTTTGAGATAGAGTGGAAAAAATCAACAACAATGAAATAATTTAATTAAAATTTTTAGCCTGGGATCAATAGATTCTTATGAATTTCTCAATTTCATTGATCATTTAAAATTGGTTTGTAAATTTTGTTTTAAATAAAAAAAAAAAAAAAGGAATTAATTGACAACAAAAAATAAAATAGACTGAACAAAATTAAATTCTAATAAAAAATCAGAAAACAAATCCTTGTTTGGTCTATCTTCAATGAATCATTCTCAATTTTCAATTGCCCTTTGGATAAACAAATTTTTTTTTGACAATCAATGAATAGGTTTTGGTTTAATGAATTTCTCTTTTTTGTTTTGAATATTTCCTCAATGTGTTTTCAAATTTTAATTTTCAGATGGATCAAAATTCTGAATTCAATGATTAAATTTAAATTGGTTTGGTTTTATTTTCTCAACTGTAAAAATCAGTCTCAATGAAATTTAATGACAACAACATTTTAGATATTTCATCTTAAGAACATATTCTTTTTTAAAAAATTGGTTTGGTTTATTTGAATTTGAATGCATATCATTATTTCAATGTGTTATTTAATGTACAAATGAAAAATTTTTAAAATAGATTACAGATGAATAGAATATGTATTATTTGGTTTAGATTGGTTTGGTTTTATTTTGTTTTTTAGCATATCAACCTCAATGGGTTATTTAATACCGACAACATTTTTAGGATAGATTCATATGAATAGAATATGTATTCTTTGGTTTAATTGGTTTGGTTTATTTTGTTTTTGGCATATCAACCTCAATGGGTTATTTAATGCCGACAACATTTTTAGGATAGATTCATATGAATAGAATATGTATTCTTTGGTTTAGATTGGTTTGGTTTATTTTGTTTTTGGCATATCAACCTCAATGGGTTATTTAATGCCAACAAATTTTTTAGGATAGATTCGTATGAATAGAATATGTATTCTTTGGTTTAGATTGGTTTGGTTTATTTTGTTTTATGGCATATCAACCTCAATGGGTTATTTAATGCCGACAACATTTTTTAGGATAGATTCGTATGAATAGAATATGTATTCTTTGGTTTAGATTGGTTTGGTTTATTTTGTTTTACGGCATATCAACCTCAATGGGTTATTTAATGCAAACAACATTTTTAGGATAGATTCGTTATGAATAGAATATGTATTCTTTAGTTTAGATTGGTTTGGTTTATTTTTTTTTTGGCATATCAACCTCAATGGGTTATTTAATGCCGACAACATTTTTTAGGATAGATTCTTATGAATAGAATATGTATTCTTTGGTTTAGATTGGTTTGGTTTCTTTTGGTTTATGGCATATCAACCTCAATGGGTTACATATTTTGCCGACAACATTTTTAGAATAGATTCGTATGAACAGAGTATATATTCTTTGGTTTAGATTAGTTTAGCTTATTTTGTTTTACGGCATATCAACCTCTATGGGTTATTTAATGCCAACAACATTTCTAGGATAGGTTTGTATGAATAGAATATGTATTCTTTGGTTTAGATTGGTTTGGTTTATTTTGTTTTACGGTATATCAACCTCAATGGATTATTTAATTCTGACAACATTTTTAGGATAGATTCATATGAATAGAATATGTATTCTTTGGTTTAGATTGGTTTGGTTTATTTTTTTTTACGGCATATCAACCTCAATGGGTTATTTAATGCCGACAACATTTTTTAGGATAGATTCGTATGAATAGAATATGTATTCTTTAGTTTAGATTGGTTTGGTTTATTTTGATTTTACGGCATATCAACCTCAATGGGTTATTTAATGCCGACAACATTTTAGGATAGATTCGTATGAATAGAATATGTATTCTTTGGTTTAGATTGGTTTGGTTTATTTTGTTTTTTGGCATATCAACCTCAATGGGTTATTTAATGCCGACAAAATTTTTAGGATAGATTCGTTTGAATAGAATATGTATTCTTTGTAAGAAATCAGTTTGTTTATTTGGTTTCATTCAACATATTATTTTAAAAAGGTTAATTTTTGTCAATTTTTTTTGGTTTCATTTAACAAATTTTTTTCTTTCAGCCATATCAACATCAGTGGGTTATTTAATGGAAAACATTATTTTTTTGAGAGATTCAAAGAGAATTTTTTTTTTTTTCAAAAAATGTATTGCTAGTAATTATTTTTTTTTTTTTAAATGTATTATTTATTTTTAACAAAATTTTTAATAGATATATATATATATATATATATATATAGTTTGCAAATTTTGTTTTATTCCCGATTTAATATTTATCAAAGAGCATTGACATTACAACTTTAGGGGAATAAATGGGAACATTAAATTAAGATGAGCATTCTTTGTTCTTCCCTCCTCTTAGGTTTATTTACCAGTTTGAATGTATTAAACATTTTATTTTTAATTGAAAAAATGAGAAATTCTCATTCAAGTTTTTGTCAAAATGTAATTCGGATGAAAATTTTCATAAAAGAAGTTTTTATTATTTTGGGGTCTGTACATTCAATAAAATAGTAAAAAAAAAAAAAGGTGACCATAGGATTCATAGGTGAAATTTTGTAGACCCAGCATTTGGATTAGTTTTTTCATTATCTTTGTTTTTCTTTTCTTTTCAAAAAATTAAACCTGTCATAGGAAAAATGTATTCAATTTAAATAGAGAAAAATCATAAATAATCTTTCAATCATTTCTTTTTCTTTTTCATTTTTCTGCCTTCTAAACAAATAATTAAAAAATTATAATTTATTAAAAATAAACTACAAAATTCACATCATTAAAAAAAAATAAATAAATTGACATTATTCCAAAAATTAAATAAATTAAATATCAAAAACAAAAAAAATTAAATAAAATGTACAAAATTTTTATAAATAAACATTAAAAGAAAAAAAAATTAATTAAAACATTTTCAAAGGTTTAAAAATAAACTTGAAAATTAAAAAACAAATAAATTGAAATTATTAAAAAAAAAAACATATAAAATTTTAAAAAAAAAAATAAATTTTTTATTGTCCTATCTTAAAGGAATCTAATATTATTAAAAAAATAAAAAATTTTCTCTTATTACATTTAAATAAATTTAATCTTTTAAAAAATTTAAATAAATTTATATTATTTTTTTTGTAAAAAAATTTACATGATCAAACAACAAATAAATTTACATTATTTTAAAAAACAAAAAGTTGTTAAAATAGGTCAACTACAATTTTAAATTAGAAAAAAAATTAAAAATAATAAAAAATAAATTGGGATTTTTAAAATAATATTTGTCTCAGGACCCCCAAATATCATTTAAATTTTAAAGGCCTCAAATTGATTGTTTCTATTCTTTATTTTTTTTTTCATTTACTAATATTTACATTAACAATGTTTTTAACGTACAAATATCAATTGAAATAGAAAGGATAAAAATATTTTAAATATAAATTTTTTTTCTTATTAAATATTTTTTTACATTGAATATTTAATAAGAACTAAAATCTTCATTTGGAAGAAATAAAATAAAAAAAATTAAAAAAAAAAATAAATAAAAAATTTATTCATCCCAAATATGGAAAATTCAAGAAAAATTAAAAATTTTTCAAAGAATTTTAATTATGAAAAGTTATCATTATCAAAACAAATCTTTAAAATTTTTAATAATTGATTTCAGGGAAAAACAACATGTTACAATTGAATTAAAGGCAAATAAAAAATTTTGAAAATAAATATAAAGAATTA